AAATTTATTTTTGATACATAATTTTGCCAAGATTGGTGTTTATTCTGTTCGAAGGTACGCCGCGCTTTAGCATTTAAAATGTAAAATTTATTTAAATTATGCACCAAAGGGTGGCAACGGAAATAGTGTTCTGCTTTTTTCCTTGCCTTCCTAGCTTGTTTGCACTCATCGTTGAACCAAAGTTTTCGAAAATGTGGAATTGCAGAGGACTTTGGAGCACCCATGAAGAGCCACCTCCTCGTGGTGGGTGCTGGGTAACGCTAAGCGCTCTTCAACCCCCCGTGTGGACCCGGGGGCATATTTGGTCCACCAACCTGTTTGCCGTGGGTTGCGCCCCTGTGTCGGTGGAGGACGGGAGTCTGGTGGTTGAGGGCACCGGTTCCAGGAACAGTGTTCCTTTGCCCAACACACCACTTCGTCCCTTACTTCACCTAGACGGGTGGTTGAATGGGCCCGGTTCAACAAATCCGCTGGTCACGCCGAGCCCTGAGCACTAAATTTCATTGCTCTATCATTTTTTGGGTTGGTTTTATTTGGACACAATATTGAAATGTTTTATTTTGTGTATAATCTATTACATGGATTTTCTAATTTGAGAAAATTTGCCTAGATGCCGGTGCCAGAAGGCGATGGCTCATTGGCCAAACTAGTAGGACTTACTACTGGTGTATATCATCCCTATATCCCTGGTATATGTCTGTTGGACATCCACAGGCAATAGGATACTGCCTTTATTGGCACTCGGTGGCGGCTGGGGAGTAGGGATGATGAACCTTAATCATACAACCATGGCTTTTCAAACCCCCATCAAAACATCAAAACGTACACTAGAAGTTGATTCTGAGAACGATGATGTGAGTCATAGAACAAAACCAGTGGAGTATTGGCCACGATTCTTGGTGATGGAAACACCTGATAAGACACAAATCAAATTGAACCCATTTGCGCTTGCAAAGTGTATATATGGAATCGCAGGCAATGTTCAAACTATCAAACGTGTGAGGACTGGATCTATACTAATCGAATGTGCCAGGGGACAGTAAGCCACAAACCTAATGTCAGTAGTTGGAATTTCTGTGTCAGTATCTCCTCACAGATCCTTGAACACCAGCAAAGGCATCATAAGAGATCGTGATCAACTCTTTAATGACATGTCAGTGCTGGATATAGTTTCAGAAATTCATGATCAAGGGGTTACATTTGTGAACAGATTTACCAGGCGACAAGGCACTGAAACGTTCAAAACAAACACATACTTATTTTCCTTTTCATCTCCAACGGCACCAAAAGCAGTTAGAGCAGGGTATTGAAACATGCATGTTTAAATGTACATACCTAACCCATTGAGATGCTTCAAATGTCATGGATCTAATTCCTGCAAAAACACCTGTGCACACTGTAGCCAAACTTCCCTTGTTACAGAAGATTGTAACAGTGATGTTAAAAAGTGCCAGAATTGTTCTGGCGCACACTCATCTTCAAGTAAAGCCTGCCCAGTATGGAAAAAAGGTGGAAATAAGTAAAATAAAATATATACAAAATATTTCTTACACTGAAGGAAAGAAACTGGTATCCACTACAGACCAGACTGAAACGTATGCTTCTGTTACCAAAACTCCAACAGTTTCCTCAGCAACAGTTCAGTGTCAAACAGATTTGACATGGATAAATTCAATTAATCCTGAACCCCACTGTCCATCTGATTCTTTTACTCAGACTGCGGATCCCTTCCCAGCTGAACAGATTTCTGTGCAACCACCTCTAAGATCAGGATCACAAAATGACTACTCAACAAAATCACAATCTAGGAAAGAAAGGAATGGTTTAGCAAGGCCAAAAAGTGACCCATTGTCTCGCAACAAACAGACTGATAGGATATCAAAAGGATCAAATGATCCTATAAAACTTCACAACAAGTTTGGATTACTGGAAGGAATGGACGTTTCGGAAAGCATCCATCGCAGGACAACAAGTTTATCGCCGAAAAGAAATGGGCTAGCCAGATCTCCAGTCAATCCACCAAAGAGATGAATAGTTCTCAACCTTTGATTCAGTGGAATTGTGGAGGATTTTAAACAAATTTTAATTATTCACAATTACTGGTCCAAGACTACAAACAAACAGCTTTCTGTCTGCAGGAAACATACACTGGAATCAAAATTGAAGAGAACACCTGTATAAGAAGACCAACTTAACTTTAAGTCGTGTATGTTTAAGACAATGCTGGATTCGATCCTGATGAGCAATCCGAACGAAACTCACCAGACTTAGAGAATGCATGAAGTCGATCGTGTTATCGTTGAAGCATGATTTGCACATGCATCATCACTGTATAAAACCTGTCAAGATTATGGTGACATTTGTGTATCAAAATGCCTCCAAAAGTGTATTTAACCAAAAATTCAGCAATAGGAAGCTGTCGGCGTGGCACATGGTGGCAGGTCTGAAAACGAGGTAGCACGTCATTTTGGGAAGTCAAAAAGTGTGATTTCCCGCCCGATTGAACGATACCGACAGACAGGTGACGTGTCAACTCCACCCGGGAGAGGAAGGCCACCGAAGACAAGAGTCCAACAAGATCACTTCGTTACAACAATTGCACTTAGAAATCGGCTCATGACATCATCAGAAACTCACAGACAATTCCGGACAACAACAGGAATACGAATTTCCTGCAGTACAGTGAGAAACAGATTAAAGTCTGCCCAGTTAAAGTCAAGGCGCCCGTTCAGTGGAATTCCACTTACTTAGCAACACAAGAGGCTGAGACTAGAGTGGTCTCGACAGTTTGATAATCGTGACAGGAGGCACTGGCGTTACACGATGTTAACCAACATGGGACATAAATGAAATTATGCATTTGAAAGTATAAGTTCAAAATAATTTGGCCAAGCATGAAATATCAAGTTAACATTGTTAGCAATTTTGAGTAACACAAAGTTGTAGCACAGGGCATGGCATGACCAGCCGATTGATTGAACGGGGCCCATTCAACCAAACGTCTAGGTGAAGTCAGAGGCAAAGTGGTGTGTTGGGCAACAGGAACACCTGGTCCTGGTTGCAGTGTCCTCAACCACCAGACTCCCTTCCTCTACCGACATAGGGGCGCAAACCACGGCAAACAGGTTGCCCAATTCGGTCTTACGACCAGTAATGGGGTGCTGTGGACCACTATTCCCCGGGTCCACTCGGGGGTTGAAGAGTGCTTAGCGTTACCCAGCACCCACCATGAGGAGGTGGCTCTTCACGGGTGCCTCTTAATATCAACCTGTATTAGCAAGTGTGTCAACACATTTTCAAAGTGTAGCTATTTGTTCAAATTGAATCTTATTCAGTGCTTGGTGGAGATGGCATCATGGAGTAATTATTCCATCTTAACCCGTTCCATCATTATCGTGATTGGAAACATCCTCTTTACGTCAATGCCTATTATCAGTGCTAAAAAATCTAGAAATATGTATGCATACATGCTATCAATTCTAGAAAAACATGCATGTCCTTTGGTGGGAGAGACCGCCTCCGTGGCGTAGTGGTTAGAGCGTCCGCCCGGAGTGCGGAAGGTCGCGGGTTCGATCCCCGACCGCGTCATACTAAATGACGTTAAAATATGGTACTTGTTGGTCCCTGCCTGGCGCTCGGCATTAATGGGTACAACAAGGACTGGTCGGCTCGGAGTCAGTATAATGTGTCTGAGTGGGGTATTCATGCTTCACTGTGGCATGGTACCTCAGTGGGCTAGCACTATAAAACCAGCTTATGTCTGGGCTAGTACAAGCAGCCGCACATACACATACACACGCATGCACGTCGTCATATGAGCGAAATATTCTCAAGCACGACGTTAAACCCAATTCCACCACCATCACCTTGGTGGGTGGGAAAGAGGTGACTAGCGGGATGCAGGCTTAGTTGAGAAATGTGATCGTATCCCAATTTGGTAGATCGATGCTCATGTTGTTCATCACTGGATTGTCTGATCTAGACTCGATTATTTACCGCCATATAGCTGGGATATTGCTTAGTGCGGCGTTAGGCAACAAACAAATAAAAACAAAACATGTTTATACCTTTCTTTTTTTCCCTCACAGATTTTTGGGTATCTATTCACATACGTTTCCCCAGTACCTTCTACAGGTAATGGAATCTGACGTTTCCTTTGTGATTAATTTTCATTAATTGATGCAGCTATTTTAAGTCGTGTGCATCCAGTTTTTATGTATCTTTTATGTACGTGGTGACAGATCATACCATCGATCTTGAGCTGGGCATTTAAATCAGGATAATTGAAATGGTCATTTCTTATACATTTCACCTTCATTATGTATTGAATCCATCCTTGTGTTTCGGTGCAATGCTTGGAAGAATATATTCTATCTTGCCTCACACATAAATGTCTGAGCGCTCTTCTATTATTTTTCAATGTACCCCGCTTACAAGCGTGTAACATTTTCTATGTACCCCGCTGGGAATGCCGAACTCATTTGGTGCTTCGTAGTAGTAATTCTTTATCTCAAATAACATTGAATCATGTATGATGTACGGAAATTACCGATGTTTTGCGAATGCAAACCGATGGAAGGGAGATGAGTCTAAATTGGTTTTCTTGTCGTCTGATACTCCATTCTATGCTTCAAACAGTTCAAACTTACCATTGAGGTGTTCGGTAAGATAAATACGATGTTCACTGGTCCCTCTGGGTCCATGGGTTGATGTACCCTCGATGTTTCTCTATGTTCCCCTCTGGCTCAGGGAACATAAACAAACATCGAGCGTACATCAGCCCATGTCCCCCTGGAGACCAGTGAACAACTTATAATATCTTTGTTTCAACTAAAATTGAGGGTAAGCCTATATTAATCATAATATTTTATGTTTGAATATGTCTTGCACAGAAAGGACAGCTTCAAATAGGTAGTGTAAACAACTGTCTTGTAAGTGTAGCCACAGAAATGAAGGTTTCTGATTGAAAATTGTTTTACATTGGACATGAGATTTTAAAAAACCAGAAGTAATGTTTATTGAAACGCAGGTGCCTATTATAGGGCAGTTAGATGCATAGGGCAAAGTTCTACTGTATACAATGCAATAGCAGATCAAAGGTGAATATAAACTTACATTTATTTCTGATGTTAAACATGTGAAGATAAAAACAGTTGACATCCAAGGAGAAAGGCCCTTTATTTGAATTGTAAAACCACCAGCACATAGGTCAGCAAAGTCCCGGACAGCTGAAGCAAAACAATGTATCAATAACTGATTGTAATGATGGGATTACAGTGTAAATAAACCCTACAAGTGCAAATACAGTAAGTCTTAAAACTGTCTGTGATGAATACCCCAAAGTCTATTGAACATGGTTTCATGTACTGAACTCCCGAAAGGCATAATCCAGATTTCACTGGCAACAGAAGTATCTGGAATAAGTGGTACTGGATGCGATTCATGATGAATACCAACTGTGATATTAACCCACAAGAACTAATATTTGGCTAATACCCCCTTCACACTTGAGGCGGAATGAGCCCGAATGCTGTCTTGGAAATTCGAACTGCATTCTAAAACTTCTTACTCCATTCCCAACTATTCGTGTCAATTCATGTAACATGCCCGAATGTTTTGAACATGTTCAAAACTTTCGAGGTACATTCGAAGTGGAAAAATATCGAACAAAATTTGAAGTGCATTGTAACTGCATTCTAAATATTCAGAACGTATTCGACGGAGAATCGAAAAGGCAAGCCACTTCAAATCCTGCAAGAATGTCCCGAATGCGCCTCGAATGTATTTCAATTGCTGGTGGAATTTAGGTGGAATGTTCTTCAAACGTATCGGAATATTTCGATTGCACTCGAATGAACATCGAATACACCTCAGAACGTCCCGAATGCTCTTCAAATGAACCCTGACGTCATCAGAACACCGCCGAATCGCATAAAAACGTAACCACCTGCCACTGAAACTTCAGATATCCACCACATCTTCAAGCTGCGCAAGTTGTCTCCAGCCTCCTGGCAGCACGTTGTGCTGCTCATCTTTTTCATCCACCATACCATTGTGGAGATTAGGATAACGAGTTCTCATCACGTTGTGCAGGCAGATACAGCATTCCATATTCAATGACGTCCTTCACAACGGAAGGCCTTGGGAGCATGGTGGTGAGGAGGATTTGCCAACTCTGGACCATGATTCCAAATGCATTTTCCACTACCCGTCGGCCCCTGCTGATCCTGTAGTTGTAGATTCTCTCGTCTCTCTGGAGAGTCCTATGACCATACGGTTTCATCAAGAATGCCCTTATTCTAAAGGCATCATCTCCCAGAATAAAGCATGGCATACGCTCGTCATCTTGGGGTAAAGGGAACGGATCATGAAATCCCATGCTCCCATCTTCAAGACAATCCTTGAGCTCGCGCTCGTTGAAGATCTGAGCACCAGACATACTTCCGTAAGACATAAACGTCCGCCCACATGAACTTGTAATTTCCATCCACAGGGGCCATGTGGATCACAGAGAAGAAGCCGGTTTGGCAGGTTTCCTAATGGCCACATGTTTGCAATCTTAAGCTCCTACAGCATGAGGAATATTCCACATGTTTCTGAATACCTCTTCAATGGGTGCCCATTCTTCCGGGGTGGTAGGGCAAATGATAACCTCATCCTTGTATTGCTCCACCATGACCTTACATACTTCTGGGATGATCAGGCTGATTGTGCTCCTTGTACATGATGCTGGGGTACCTATCATCTGAACCCAGGAATCCTCAATGTGATGGCTAGGCTTCAAGCCTGGAGGTAGCGCCTTTCTCATATATTCATCCTGCTTCTGTAATCTTGGTCCCACTTTCTGCACCAACTAATCAAATATGGCAGGCTCCGTCCTCAAGTAGTTGAAGAATGACTGCGTGTCCTCAACTCTGAGCTCCTCCATCAGTCTTGTGTAATGTCCATACAGCCTCCTCCTTTCTTCTGTCATCCATGGTCTGGCCTGGAATTGCCACATGTCTTTCAATCAGGTCCTGCTGGAGGACAGCAATCTGGAGCAACGTAACATGGTCCAGGGGGTCCATACTGTATAGGAGTTTGTCAGAGACTGATGAATAGTCTTCGAGTGCTATTCCAACCGGACTCGAACCGGACTCGTACGGCAGTCGAAATTCATTTTAAGTATTCTTAGTCTATTCTAACGGCTTTCTAATTATTCCTACTGTGTTCCGATTCATTCGAGCTGTATTCGTGATCCAGTACTAGTACATTTGGAATGAGTAAGAATCATTCGAGGCGGGTTCGAAGTGCGTTCTAAGTATTCCAACAGGAATTCTGACAAAGCTTAAACAAATTGTTGTTTTTTTACACTTTCTCCCGAATGCGGTTCGAATTTTGGAAATATTATGTTTCTGTCTGATTCTCCTTGATTCCTGTGAATTCGAAATACGTGTGAAGGACCCTTAAGTGATATACTAGAAACCTACATGGTATAGTTATTGTGTAGATACAAAGCCAGTGTATGACATAAGGCCGTCCGACCGCCCGAGATGTCCTAGATTTCTGACGGACGGTCTACGTTTACAGCTGGCCATCCCGATGGTTTGGTAAAAATGTTCAATAACATGTTCCATCCATCTGAGTAAATTCACCATATTTTAAAAGCTATTTTTCAAATTTAGCGTTACATTTAGACAATTACTGTTTGAACATTGAACTATCGCATCATAAGCTCAAAACACTGCGTTGACATTTATTATCACTAAAACTGCGACTAAACAATAACTTAAAATTGAGTTATTTTCTTTGGAATTTCTGGTCTGGTAAATCCATTTTGGGCTGGTGACAATTTGAATTTACCAGCCCCGATGTCTGGCTTGGTCTTTGGCTTATTTCATACACTGGTAAAGCATGCTTAATCAAACACTAAACACCAGAGGTTCACTTTGTTATGTACATACCTTCACAAGTTAATCAGTTGGAATAATTTCAGAAGTCATCAGTTCTGTGCTGCGCTGCTTTAAATAACTAAGATGGACAAGACTGTACACTTAGTTACGTGATACAAACACATTGTAAACGTTTCATGCAACCATCAACCCTTTACCATGCCAAACAAAAACTTACCATCAGCATGGTCGAGCTGTCGATGGTGAACAGGTTGTATACGGTATAGCCAATCTTGGTGGTTGTGAGTCGTGTTATAAAGATGTTGATCTGAAACAATTTTTAATTTAAGCATTACTCACATTATGAATTCAATTTTAAGTAAGAGATAATATGTAATTGGACAACATGTAACAGAGTGATATTAATGTTCTAGCACAAACTGTGAGCTTGTCACCTGAGTATATACTCTTACGAATAGCAAGATGACCTAGTTGTACCCTAGCTTGGCATAGATGTGTACTTCAGACAGCACAAGGATCCGCTGATCGTCTGTTCGATGTTGCATTTAGAAAATACGACAATGTTTTTGAATTAATGACAATGTTGAAATACTTCAAATGTGGAAGGGACAGCCGATAGTTAAATAGGTTTAAAGATGGTTGAAGCGAGGAGATATAAATCGTTGAGCACATCTTATACAGTTATAAATAATAACATTCATACTAGTAGAGTTATAACTTACAATGTTTAGGCTCGCATCTGACAACCTGGAAAAGTCTGCTTTCAAGAGATATGCCAGTGAGGAATGTGCCTGCAAGAACCACAATCATATACTGGTGGTAAGCGAATTTTGATGCCAATGTAACCTTTATCAAGATAAACCTTTGTAGTGAGTGAGTATAGTTTTACTGCGCCTTCAGCAATATTCCAGCGAATATCACAGCGAGGGGAAGCAGAAATGGGCTCCACACGTTGAATTCACACAGGGAATTGACGGTGTGTCTTCTGTGTGACGACCCAGTGCTTTAACTGCTTTGGTATTATAAACCTAAATGATCTCAAATGAGCATTCCCACTGGATTTCAAAGCCATGTGTTTGCATTTTGCAAACATACATGTACCTATCGTAGAATACACAATCATGGTTATAGATATTTTACACTTCTGTAACCCTTTCTTTGAGAGGCATTTACTTCTGTAACCCATCGAGAAAATTTAAGACTGACTGACTGAGTTTGGTTTTACGCCGCTTTTAGCAATATTCCAGCAACACCACGGCGGGGGACACCAGAAATGGGCTTCACACATTGTGCCCATGTGGGGATTCGAACCCGGGTCTTCGGCGTGACAAGCCAACGCTTTAACCATTAGGCTACCCAACTGCCCCAGAAAATTTAAGATCCATTTGGATTTAATATGTGCCTAGTTACTATTACATTCATTTCAATATATGCTACTGACCATGTAGTCAGATGTAAACTTTACTCATTTATGATATGCGTTTTTTTCACAAGATACTAATGCGCAAAAGTAAAAGAAAACTTGAGTCACCATTATGCATGATAAATCCAAAGCACAAGGTGAGACAATTTGTACCTACCTTGATGTTCAGGGCCACTGACGTGACAATAATTGATCCAACCATGACAGTGTTGGTTACGACACATGCTGTCAACATGGAATCCTCTCTCATCAGGAACACATCGTTTATGACACCATACAACATGAGACAGATAATGGGAACTGACCCAACATAGCCGGAACCGATCATGTGCATAAACATGCTGTTTATGGTGCTTACAAGGGAACATATGTCTTCAAACTGTCGACGAAGTTTTTCAATATATGACCTCGGTATAGCTACTTCCTTGTTGTCAAGCGTACCATTTAACGCAACATTCAGCTGTTGAACTCCTTGAAGAGGCAATAGGTAAGGAAATGGAAAAATATCAGAAATAATATCAGTTGTATTACATCTACACAGAACACAATGAACAATATGGCCTTTATCACAGGGTAATACTCCACTGGAAGCAGTTTTATAGGTTTTAGATATATGACGTCAGGATCAACATTGTGAAGTGAGATAAAGTATGCAAAAGGCGGAACAGTGACAATCACTAAGGCAGCGAGGAGAGGCAACCTCTTGGTATAACGCCGGAGAGTTGCGTTGTCCATAGAAGAGGCTTGCTTTTCTCTATAGGAGTCATACTGTCTGAAGAACATGGGCAGGTGCTTGTTTATGCTGACACATGTGGCAGTGCCAAAATACATAGCACTAAACTGATATCCTGCGTATGACAGAACTGCCATCCAGGATTCAACTTGATAAGATTCATCTGTGTAGCGAGTGAAGAATCGACCGATTGTGGACCATGAGATGATGTGGATGGTGACTGTGAAAGCGATACTCATTGCATTGGAAACTGTTCTTCTTTCAATTGGCATGTGCATCCCCATGATGTTTAAAATTGTCATAAACGGCTTCAGCATATCCTGTACATAAATGACATTGCTGCTTTTCTCTTCATTATCACTGCCAGTTGGATGCACCCTTGAAAGCGGCATGTCTTCAATGTGGCCAATACAGTATTGAAAACAAGCGTGTGCAAATGCAGTTGGCTTGATGTTCGCCTCTTGAAGAAGAGCGGGCACATTTATATGTCCATTATCTTCAACGGCCTCAATTTAATTACAATATATAACCAGATATCGACAAATGAGAATGGTTGTGAAAGCCGGGTGTTTGTTGTTTGATATCCGTTTGTGCTGCTTGTATTGATGAAACTGTGTAAATGCCCCACTATCACATTTGTGACTGAAGTCCAGCATCATGGTTCTAAAAGGATCGAGAGCCATGTAAACCAAAGAACCGAATAAATATTGACGGTGGATAAAATTGAGAGTGACATGGCTGTATGACAAAAGGGATTACGTCAACTTTCCAATAGGCAACTTTCCGTTCATGTCGAGCAGTATTCCAACAGCTGCAACCTTTGGTGCTGAACTTACACAACTTTTTGAGATACAATCGTGCATGCGCGTTCTACCAAGATTTCACTGTGCGAAAACGAATTACAGGCCTCAATGCATTTTCTGTACATCTCTTAGTCACAACCTGTTTTTGACAAAATACAAGAAACAATAATAATAATAACAATAATAATAATAATTCCAGCCAACAAACCTGATCTTGTCCTTTTGATAAAGCCAATGAATTTATTTATATCATTGAACTTTCTGTCCCTTTTGACAGCAACGTGATTGGCAAGATTCAGGGGGCAAGGGCCCTGAGCTGATGATGTGCCTTACCAGCCTGACTGTGCCAGCATCACCCGAACCCTCTCTGCTGCATTTCCATCTTTAATCTGTTGAACATAATAATAATATGGACACAGGTGATGTTCCTCCATGGTTCTGCAAAGGTCGCACAATACTCCATCCAAAAGAAGGAGACTTGACTGATCCCCAAAACTCAGTATAATATCTACACAGGGTGTTTGAGAAATCTCGTGTCATCTAACTGCTGTTCTAATGACATACTTTATAGAGAGCAGAAGAGAGCGAGAACGGGATGTTGGGGGTGCAAGGATCAACTTCTTGTACAAAAAATGATTTTGGAAGAGGCTAAAACATATCATCGCAACCTCTCCATGTGCTGGATTGACTACAAGAAGGCATACGACTCTGTCCCTCACGAATTGATTCTGAAGTCTCTTCGTTGTATTAACCTCCCGGAGCGACTACTTGATTTACTCAAGTCTTTAATGAGTTGCTGGTCGACTCAACTTGAGATGTACTTGCAAGGGTAGGTGCAGACTTCGGAATCTATTCCAATCAGAAGGGGAATTTTCCAGGGGGACTCAGTCCTTTGCTTTTTGTTTGTCTCTAAATCCTTTGAGCTTTCTGCTCAACAGAGAGGAGGGTTACCATCCCGGACCTCCTCAGCACAGATCCCCAACACCGCTTACTCGTCTTCTTTACATGGATGACATCGAGCTCCTTGCCAAAGGAGATACCAATTTGAAAGAACAGGTTCTCCTTGTCGAGTCCTTTTCTAATGATATTGGCATGACATTCGACAAATGTAATACTCTTCATTTAAAACGTGGCAAGGTAGTTAATGGTGGATCGGTCAAGTTACAGGAGGGAGAAGTTATTGAGCATCTTTTGGAAGATCAGGCCTACACCTATCTTGGAATGCAAGTTCGAGACAAGCTCCAGTGTGCCCAAATTCAAGACAAACTTCGGGCCGAGTACAAATCTCGCTTAAAGAAAGTCTGGAGCTCAGAGCTAAATGCTCGAAACAAGGTCAAAGCCACCAATACTTTTGCAGTGCCAGTCCTTTCCTCTTCCTTTGGAGTAGTTGATTGGACAAAACAAGATATCAAGAGTCTTGACCGCCTGACCAGAAGGATCATGTCTGATAACAGAGCCCACCACCTTCGTTCCTCTCTTAACCGTTTATACATGCTAATCAATTCTGGAGGTCGGGGTTAGATTAATGTGGTGGCTCTTCATGATAGAATTTTATTGTGTACTTTTGCACATATTTATTTATCGGATAATCCTCTGGTGATGCATGTCAAGACTCAAGCAAGGAATTTCACAGCTATTTTAAGCGTGCCAAGGTTGTTGGACAGACTCTGAAATTTGAGGTTGAATTTGCTGATGGCGTTGTACTGCTGGGCGGTACAGCGATGGGAGTAAACCAGGTGAAGTTATTCACCAAGTCTGCCCAGAGTCGGTCTTTTGTGGAGAAGCTTTCTGAGAAGCCATTGCATCGTGTGTACATGCCGTGTGTGGAACAGGATAGCAATCCCACCGATTCCTTCGGCTGGTCTTAAATGTGAAACTGAGGGCTTCCTTTTTGCTGCTCAGGACGAGTCACTTCCCACTCATAATTGCCAAAATGTGATTCTTAAAGAAAATATCAATATGAAATGTCTACTATGTAATGAATTTACAGACACTGTCCAACACCTTGTCAGTGGATGCCCTTCTTTGGCACAAACAGCATATCTTAAACGACATGATGGCATGGCTCGTTGCTTTTACTACCGTCTCCGACATGTCTGTGGCTTTGACTCCGAGGTCCACCCAGGGCGTCATGGAAAATGATGCTTTCAAACTTCTGTGGAATAGGCCCATATACAGCCTCAGAAGAATTCCAGCCAACAAACCTGATCTTGTGTTTTTTCATAAAGCCAATGCATTTATTTATATCATTGAATTTTCTGTCCCTTTTGACAGCAATGTGATTGGCAAGACTCAGGAAAAGCATGAGAAATATGCGGACCTCGCCTTTGAAATGTCTCGCTTGCATCCCAAGTACACTGTCATCAGGCTCTCCATTGTTCTCAGTGACCTTGGTTTGGTACCTCCTGATCCGGAGAGTGCCTGGGTTCTCCACCGGGAGCACAGCCCTTCTGACACTCTCGGTAAGGCTGCAGTGTTGGGGAGCCTTCATATTCTCCGGAAAGTTCTTGGTGGGTTCGACTAGGCAGTGTTTCCTGGGAGAAGTCCCATTCGCTGTCTGGGCATCGTGTAGAGGGGGCGAGGACCCTGAGCTGATGATGAGCCTTACCAGCCTGACCGTGCCAGGATCACCCGATCCCTCTCTGCTGCATTTTCACCTTTAATCTGTAAAACATAATAATATCTAGTTAATTTCCGAATCCTCGATGTATATAGCAGCTTTTCAATGTTCACTCGCTGGATATTTGAAGCTGTAAATGGTACAGAGCTGAAGATGTGATTTAACGTTTAGCGAACAAAGGAAGCATAGACGGATTAGGGGGAGGCGATTGCGGGGGTGCGCACGCCTCCTTTTGTTTTGAATGAAAGAAGGCTACAGTGCCTTCAAATAAATAGCAGACTGCGTATTTTCCTTTATATGGTATTGGTGTTGAGGTTAAAACATGAGCATGCCTTTATCTTTATCACGTTTATTAATTTTACAACATCCACAGACACAAATTGTAAGTTCCTCAACTTACAAAACACCACAGCATAGAATTGGGTATGGAACTCCACTTGTCACGGTCAAGCTGTATAAACAAAATAAACAATTATTTAGATCCAAATGAACAGTTTTTAATACAAATCTGCTCACATTAATATCAAATTAACTCTAAATATCACGAAAACATGATACGCCACAATAAAATACAATATTGCAATCAACAGA